CGAGTGCGGTGATTCTATCCAATACGCAAAATATATGAATTACATCATTCGGTCTCAGACTGTCCGCTGTGAATTGGGCTTTGATACATTACAAAATGCTTAAAATATTCATAATTTCGACGAAAATTCAAAAAAATCTGTATTTACAATTCCTCGTTACGTTCTTGTACTAACTCTGCGTACCTCTATTAAGTATGCCAGAAAGTCCCGCGCGATTTTTAGAAATTATTCTATATTTTTTCCCATGCGCAGTCCTTTCTTGATGTAGTATGTTGTGAATGCTTTCAAGAGTGAACGGGCTGCTAGCAGATGTCTAGTCACTCCCTAACTTCAACTCTGACTTACATTCCAACAAAGCGAAAAATTTTAGAAGGGTAAAAGTGCAATTCTTTTATGTGATTAACTTTCAGTGCTCGACAAATCGCCAAATATCAAAGTCAAACATTGAACAATCAGGAAGGGTACTATCCTGGAAACCCGCTGTGCAGCTATTCTATCCGCTTACACAAAGGAGATGAAAGCTCTCAAATCTAAGACTCATTTCGCTTTTCGCTATTGGCATCTTCTTTCTATAAAACGCTTTGATCGCGTATCTTATGCAAAATATACAAAAATGATGGCAAAGCAAAACTACATTGAAGTTGTTCCAGATCATACTATGTAAAGCAATAGGATATTGAAAGTGTACTGGTCAGTTTTGATGCACGTTTACGGTGTCAAAAATCCCACTTTCGATGATATAAAATAATATTATGACAAAATTGCCTGTTTCGCATTCGGCGTACATCAGACTACTCTAGTCAATTGTAGCGAAGTAGTAGATAAACATCCAGAGTTAATTTTGAAGCTGGAAGAAGTAATCCTTTTGAAGCTACCGATTTTCACTTCTCTTCATCTTCCCTGTCTTGATATTCCGGCATTTACCACAGCTTACAGTGATAGATTATATACATAGAGCCACGAGTACAGAGTACATGCACGAAAAGGAAGGGAAGCGAAGAAAGTGAATGGAGAATGCTTGAAGGAAGTGTTATGCCATTTTTGCTACATTTTTCATTGATTACTAGTATGTATAGTATGAAGAAAAAACAGTGTTTCCACCGATTGTTGTTTTAAACCAAGAGAATTTCCTTACTTCCTCTTCAGCTACCATAGTATGGCAAAAAACCATCATCATTTTTTGTAAAACTCCTGAGTAAGAATAACTATTACCTTTGTTTTTTTGTTTCTGGAGTATCAAGCCTACGCTTACAATTAGATACTGCACGCATGTGCAATTTCGATTAGTATAAAAAGCTAAAATTTCAAAAAAGTGATAACGCCATAAGATTTGTGGAAGTGTGTAGGGATTTTTGCAGACCTGTTGTAATATATAAAGATGTCATTAATCTTCAACCATTACATTTTTAAGACAACTTGCAAAG